TTTAGTGAATAGTTAGTTTGATTGGCTTATTTGGTCTGTTAGGAATGAAGACAAAATCTCTTCCTTTCTTTTCTATCTTCCTGAGTATTGTATTGGAATTGGATGAGGGGGTCACATATATAGTTGTTTAGTTACTATTCAATGTCAGAGTGTTCAATAGTCCAGATGGCAGTCCAATAATGAAAATGATTAAATACTCAAATCGATTGAAACATTCAAATCATTTCAGATATTGAATTTGATTAGAATATTAAACTATATTCAGATTTCTAATTACTTTTAGACATTCAAACCTTTATATTGTTGAATTACAATCCAGACTGTTGGATACCCTATCATTTATATCATATGAAAAAGATACATTTATATCAATGATATCTATACTGTAGATAGTCTGAGCTCCAGCCAATTTTAAAATATAAGAAGGAAGATTGATGATCGTGTCCTCGCTGTAGAGCAGTGCTTTAACATGAAATATCGAGCTAAGAAGTATCAACAAGTTCAATACTAGTTTCATAGCACGGGCTTTAGATTGAGGATAACCTCATGGAATGTAGTAGATTGAGATGGATCTATATATATATATTAACATTTGTATTTATTCCCTGGTAATTACTCTACATACAGAAAATATAAATATGATATACTCACCTACCTGTGTAATTATTTATGAAAATTTATAAAATTATATACCAGGTTGTGAAAAAGCAATATGAAATTTGATTCAAATTTTTATATTTATTTTGATATTTATATTTATTTATTTATTTATTTATTTATTTATAGTGATTAACGTCTAATGTCTGACCTCCCGAAGGGTATTCTAGACGTACTAAGGAGCGGGCCTACGGACCGCTGACGTTCCCGCCGCTCATAGTAGTGTAATGTTAGCTAATCAGAAGCTTGTTGCCTCTGGTGTTCCTCCGTTTGATATTTATATATAATATAATAAAGTAGATAAACAAAAAATAGATTTGTAATTCATTTAGCGAGACAAGGAGTAATATCTTTTTTGAGATGAATATATATGTATAGAATGCAAAATATATAATATTGTAATAAGACTAGAAAAAAAAAGATTCATTTGATAGAGGATTTTATGAAGGAGAATTTAAGAAAGGGGATTAGCTTAGCTTGGATTGGGGTTGAGTTGAAAGGTTTTAATAAGGTTTGAAATGAAATGAAATGAGGTGAGGTAAAGTGATGGAGTGATGGAGTGATATGATGTCAACCCCCATTAATCTACTCCTTCGAAAGTTAAATATGCTTGATATCTTTCTGCGTATATACGTGTTCCCAGCTATCATCACCATCAATCCAGTCCTATATGCACATTGACTACCTTCCCCTATTACTTCATCCACTCTCATTTTGGAGCAAATCTAACATCTCTCATCTACAAATCCTTCAACTCTACCGAGAACAAAAATACTAGTTGATTACAAATACCTAGCAGGACTTCCAACACAGTTACTAACCCAATCCTAACTCCGAGCAATGACAACAAATAGCCCATCTTAATATCGGTACCTGATGATTCGAAATCGAAAGGGTTCGCCTAATTTGATTAGAATACGAGAACCTGAATCACCGTGCAGAACTGATGAGAGCTTTCTCCCTGGCTTCACTTGATTACTGTCCATAATCGGTGCTTCAAACTCGATAAGACTTGCACAAATAGCGAGCTTCGAGATTAGAACTGCCATTTATATACTTTCGCTATGCCATCTACATTATGCCTGGAGATTTGGACTGCTCGAGGACTATCAAATACCTGGAATCAGATCTCAATTCGAGTGAATAGTCTTACACGTACTCCCATTATTTTCCATAGCTTAGTTCAGGTATTGGGTTGAAAAATTCTACCTTGATTTGGTACATAAGGAAACTTGCTGGCTGTCATGTTGAGAGATATAGTGGTAGATAATGCGAAGATGGCGAAGAAAGTTGAGGACTTCTGGTGCTCGTTCCAGAGATCCGAATATGAATGGTCGGATTACCAGTACTGAAATTTGAGCTGATATTCAGAGCTATTATATATGTTGAATATCCCTTTCGTTGTGAATTTTAATTGTTGTCTCTGATATATAATAGCTATTACTGTCGACGAGACCTATTGCACTTGAACCCTCATTCTCGAGGCGGGGAGGAAGGAGGAAATGAAGGTTATGATCCGCGGTAAGTATATGGATAAATATTTCTGGAAAGGCCCGACACAATGCTGGTGCTACACTGACTTTTCTTACCCATCTCCCTAGTTCATACCACGATATATCCTTAACCTGCATTCTTTGTTACTCTGTTGGAACCTAAAGGCTACAAAGACTTTTATAGATAGGTAAGAAGTACCCAAATGCTAGAATTGTATGTGAAATCTGTGATACGGAGATGAGGGATCAATGAGGATGGATACGATAGCACGTCACCATTTCATTGTCTTCTCGTGTATCATTCACGCATTGCCAACTCTAGGACTCGGAGGATCAACAGATTCTAGCTCTGTACCCCGACTTCCAAGTGATGACTGGGTATATAAGACTTGTAACTTTTCTTTTGAAAAGAGTAAAACCGGCGGGTAGAATTTTCCAATGCAAGAGAGAGGCTTCACTATGAGACATTTCCTAGCACAAATCAGGAGACAGAAAGTTGCTTGCAAAGCCAGTGAGAAATAATAAGGTGTACGCTTTTGAAGTAATCATTGAATGCTGAATTTGAAGTCTTGTAGTTCTAATCATCCAGTCGTTGTTGGCTTCAAATCTCAAGCATGAGCTATTATCATTGCCATACTCGGAATTTGATAATAGACAATGATGACAGCCGAGGAAAAATTCCAACGAATACTATTCCTCGAATCTAACCTTGCCCTGATTGGGTGTAGTATGCATTACCAAGATGTATTTAAGGCAAGGGAAAAGCGTTCATGTATGCTTGAAATTAACCAGAACCTACATCAAACAGAGACAACCTCATACTTAACAGTACAAAGTCTTACTCATCTGACGAAAGATATCGACATTGAATCCCAACCCACCCCAGCCTCCTCTCCAACACGTACCATACGACACGAGAATATCTGACACAAATCAAAACGTAGAGGAGGAGAAAGGATTGATCCTCCAAGACAACAGCTCAATGATTCAGGTAATTCTGAAACGTATGTCCCATCGATCATTACTACGTTCGTCGTTCTTGGGTTGCATGCTGACATCTGAGACGGAGCACCCAGGGTACAGAGATTAAGGTATATCAAATGTCCTTCCATTGAGGTACGATAGTATGTCATGAACACTTGTTCGAAAGGAGATTTGCTGGTGGAAGAAAACCATTATACCAGCTTGGGCATAAAAGATGGTTCGCTCAGTTATGTAAATATATATTCCAGGCTACCGAATCCATGAACTACACCATTGCGGCGGGGAGAACATACGTTTCCTTCAAATTAAGAACCAAATTAAGAACCAAACAAAAACACAAAGCCAAAAGCAAACATGCTCATGAATGAATAAATCTTATCAGAGCCTTCTGAATCAAAGAGCAGAGAAATCAGCATCATATATTTATACTCAGCACCATATCTTCCATTCATAAAAGCGGAATATCCTCAGCCCTAGATACGATCTCCTACATCAATCTCACCCCCGTCGCACAAATCTCCCCAGTGTCACAACTCAGGTCCGACCCAGGCACCGAGTTTGGATACAACCTACAAGCCCTAGCCGGAGCGTAAATATGCTGTGTTCTGTACCTCTGCATATACAGTGCATGAAAAGTATAATTTGGTGGGATGTAAATGTCACAACTGGCTTCCTAGGTATGTATAATTTTGGGGTCTGGGAAAGGGGAAGCGTATATTGTATTATGAGGTGTTACCCTAGCAGTATTTTATGCTTATCACAAGAATCGACTAGCTACTTCCGAATTAAATCTACTAAAAACACGCCCAGAATAGTGTAATACTGCACTCCATTAGCATTTTCATCAGGTGCCCTTCCGTGAAATTGGTAATAATGCTAAGGTTTTAACAAATCCTAAATATTTGTTAAATCGTCTCATCAATCTTCCACCAAGACAACAAACAGATCCCTAGTACATACAAGGTATATGGTGTATACATCATACACCTACAACCCCACTCGTCTAATCCAGGATATAAACTCTGCTTTATACATCCTACATACCCAAGTACAGCACAATAACAACACAATAACAACAACACACAACATACCACCCCCCTCACAAAAACTCGCACAGATCTCTCCTCCGATCACCAATTACCCAACGAGTAATTTAACCACAAACCATATCAGTGGGCCATGGAGCACGATAGCTCGCCGAACAAATCTCCACATGGCGTGCTAGTCGGTTCTACAGGGGAACTTTTACGGGTACCTGCTTGCACACCGGGATGAAAATTTTAGAAGAAACCTTGATTTACGGTGGTGCTTCTCTTTAAGGTTCTTTTTCTCCTCGTGATTGTGGAGATGCTGGGAATGTTAATGTGTTTGTTTGCATCTTTGGTGAGTGGAGTGTGTGAGTGGTTTGGGAGTTAAGGAGTGAGAAGTGGAAGATGTGAAGGGGGTGTTCATGCGATGGGAAATTGGATTGTACAGTTAATATTCTTCACGATGATCTGAGTGATTTTGATTTTCAGAGGGGATTGATTCCCTTGGTTTGTTTCTCGTCACTGATAAACATGAAAAGATAGATAGAATAAGGTAAACCAAATATTAATTTTCTCCCAATCCATTACACGAATAATCGTGAAAAATAGTCTATAGCTGTCCTCGTTCATATACGTCTTATCGTACAGAATAAAATCTCAACGACGCATTTACTTTTGAAAACGTAGTCTCCAAGTAGATGTGACCAAACAAGTCGAAACCAAAATACAAATTTCCAAAAGTAATCCTCCGATCCCTCTCCTGCGATACTCATCATTACACCATCGATTCTATAATCATCCTTCCTTCTCCACCCATCCCCTAGTACACTCAAATCTCTTACAAGAAAAGAGCAGCGGCACCAGCCAAAAGTCCGACCATTGGGATACCAGTAGCAGCAGCTCCGTTACCAGATGCAGATGCCTTGGAGCTGGAGGAAGAAGATGCGCCGGAAGAGGTTTGGCTAGCAGCGGAGGCAGAGGTAACCAAGCCAGTTCCAGTGGAGGTAGTGGTACCGGTAACAGTGGTGGATGAACCGGTAGAGGTGAAGGTGGAAGTACGGGTGGAGGTAGTAGAAGAAGCGGAAGCGGATCCTGAGCTCGAGGTTAGGGAGCTGGTTCCGGAGGTAGAGGCAGTCGAACTGCTCGAGGTTGCACTTGAGGTTGAGGAGGAGGAGGAGGAGGAGGAGGAAGAAGAAGAGGTAGAGGTAGAGGTAGCGGAAGAGGAAGTAGAGGACGCACCAGTATAACCTGCAAGTGTGCTGCTTGCACTGGAGGCTACTCCATTGACGGTGAATTGTTGAGATTGAGCCAAGATTTGCTCTGCCTTTCCTGGGCTAACGAAGTTGATTTGGTAGTTGCCACCGGTTGGCAATTGGAGACCGGTAACACTCTCAGATCCCTTGCTGATATCGACATTGGTGAAGAGAACATCGCTGAGAGGTGGGTTGGATGCCATGTGGACGAGGTAGATATCGACGGTTTGGGGATCAGTGGAGACTGAAGTCCAGGTGATACTTTGAGCTCCCTCGCTGAGATCCCATTCTCCGTTGGTAGATGGGGAGGTGATGGTGATAGCTTGAGCAATTGCGAAGAGCGCAGTCAAAGCGAGAGCGTAACGAGCCATTGTAAAGGTATTGTGTTTTGTTTTGGGAGAAATAAAAATTGGTAATAGTTGAGCGAGTGTTGATTAGATAGTCACGAACGAAGGACAAGTTGTGTATGAACAATTAAGATGTAACAGAAAAACGAATGTGTCTGTATTTTGAAGAAGCTGAGGTAGATGATGAGATTAAGAATGAAAGAGGACTGAGTGAAGTAAATGTAGTAAGATATACGAAAATCCGATACTCATCTAGGATAAGGTAGGATTAAGGCGGGAAACTATTAAAAGTACTTCGGGATTGGAACACGAGATTTTGAACTTCGCCCACTCGGGCAATATTCATGAGTTTCCAACATATATCCTTGTAATCTCAGTACTCTTGGCAGGTACCGTGTAACTAAGCCAGCATCTTTTTCTCGTTTGTATGTGTGTAGCTTGCTTTTTTCTTCTGTTGTTCTCAAAATTACCTAGGAGCAACTGGCAAATCTGATCATCTCATTAACCGTTCCTATGAGAAGAGGCGTGCTTCTCTCGTATTGATTTCTGACATGCCAAGTAACCGATTCAGGGGGAAGAAGATTACCGTATTGGGCGAAAAGGTACGAAGATGTACCAGATGAGTAGAATACTATGCGGCGGGTAAACAATGCTATCCCTATACAATATCAGCAGAATAGTGACCGTTCTCTTCTCCGTCCTCTCAGCATGAGAGTTTTTTTCCCTCTGGGATGTGTTGATTGCCAAGCTCCTCAAGAAGCTTTTACGGAGTAGATGGAATTAATTTCATTTGGAGTCCGTCGTATCAGAGGATTCCTGAGAAAGCTTGCAAGTTTGCGGGAGAACACATGCGGTATCTTGCTTACAAATCACAATGTGATTGGAGCACGTAGAGTGAAAATTAATCGTTATCATTCTTACCGCAGGGGTCAAATGTTCGAAGAACCACTTATAAACCCTACCATCCGTATTCAAATTTCCATTTCCCGTCAACACCGAGCATTGAAATTTCTGGATAAGTGTCATAAGCATAATTTTAATGCTTAATGGTAGTGTGGGTGATGATCAGTGCCCTGATTCCCTGAACTCTTGTTAACAATCAATGTTAAGTGGTAGTGGCCGAAAGGGATCGGCATCTTGCATCCAAATTTCTTGCTAAAAGGTGTGCTAAACTTTAAAAGGATGAGCAAAGTTGCTCTAAGAAGTCAAAGCAAGGGTGATAAGGGTGATAACTATCTAGTGATAACTGTTTAATCTACTCACCAGTCTCACATGAACCATTTTGGGGCCTGCTCGCTTGAAGCCTTTGGGTTTGAATGGTTGAAGAAGAAATCCGCAATTACGATGTCCAGTCATTTCTCTCACTGTGGCACACCGATTTGTTGGATGCCTGTATCGTGTTGCATATTGTTTCAATGACTATTTACTCACCCGCTGGTAATGAATCAAAAAACTTCAAAGTGTTCCACAGAACGACGGGCTGAAAGTTGACAGCTAATCAATTGTTTTACCAGTAGTGGCTGTCAAGTTTGCATTTGGTTACATGAGGCTCTGATTTACGATGCCGGTGAAGATTGATGGTATTTCGAGCTTATCTACGAAGCCCTAGATAGATAGCCATAAGGCCGGAGAACTGCGACCCATACTTAGCTCAGCCATGCAGCCAGCCCACATCTTGAATCGTATAGAAGTATTTGCCACATGATCCATTTTTAAACCTCGTATCGGTTCTCTACTCATTCCAGAGCACATCTTGAACGTTTCCTACCTGCCATTATCGGGGTTTCCAGAAATCGAAATACATCATGTCAATTTACAATATTCTCATACCATCCATTTCCCCAACGCTAACAAAACACATGACCCACAGATAGGCAGCATAACACCCAAGTCTTCCAATCACCCCATTGTGTTTCTCGTATTACTTTTCCCCCGGCTACTTTATTGAATCTTTAAATCCATATCCCGATATTATAATCTAGTAGTCGAGTATTCTTAAGTCTCCCAAAGAGACCCTCGACCCTTGAAATAGCCCATATCGCATTTTCTTCTAGAAGTTTGAAATCGCATAAGAGACATTCTCTCCGTAAACTCTATTCCGTCATTCTCTCCCCTCAACCCAACCCAAGCCCTTCATCTCGTATTCTACACCCACACAACCACTTTGCAGCCCATCGCGAAACGATTCTCAAGCCCTCTATCCTGAGTCATTTCAATTCATCTCAACTCCATTCACTCTCCCGAGGAACCACAACTATCAAGACCATCCGATGCCGACCGACACCTGTCCGAAGTTCAACTATAAATGATTGTCCAACCTCACCATGCTCTCCAACCTCATAACGGGAAGAAATTCACAGATCGTCAGCTCTAGGATCGGAAATATACACCACCAGATTCACCGCTTTCACAACTTCTAATCACCCGCAACCACTTAAGATCCTTCTCTAGACTTCTTCACCGCAAGAACTCTCACCATAGCAGCTACTCAACAATAGAAATACAGACTGATACTCACAATGTGAAAAATACAGACATCATCATTGCCAAACACAACCCACAATCACAACGATGATTTTTCATCATCACCACCTCTTTATTCTCCTCTCCATTCCACTCCCTCTGTCCTCTTTCCACTCCCGCACCATCATCTAATATTCATCCCCATTCCTCCCCATCGCTTCTCCAAACCCCTAAAATCCCTCTTCTTCACATCCCATCCCATATACCGACTGCAAACGTGATTCGTGAAAGATCATTGCGTACCTTTTATTGTTTAATATCTCCTGTTTAATAATGGGATAAGGATCTCTGATAGTGTTGAGTGCTCACTTTGTGCTTTGCCTGATTCTGGAGGAGGTTACTAGGTAGCGATGTACAGATTGTTGTGAAAGGAGCTTGGGATTGATGGACTTGTTGGACTTTAGATGACATGTTTGATAGTTCAGATTCTAGATTCTAGATTTTAGACTTCTGAATCTATTAGCATATAGTCATATTCTACAGTAGACACTTGGACATGAGTAGAGTACGAATGATCTATTAAAATGGCAAAATTATAAATTTATTTGCAATACCGTGTTACGGGATGGAATATCTAACTGAAAAATGTCGGATTGCCAATGGGGTCGTCTCGAACTTTTGCTAACCATATCCTTCTTATCCTACCCGGGCCTATACATTCCTATCCCGCCCCTAGATATACTTCCAAGCAATACCAATACACCATTAAGATATACAATAGATATACAATAAAATACAATCTTCCCTACTCACCCCCTACCAACCTCAAAAACAAATGAATTAAACCTCCTTCCCCTAAACCAAATCACTAGCATCAAATCTCTGTCCCCGACTCGTCAGCGGCGTCAAAACCTCCACGATAGTCTCCCCAACAACACTTCTCCCCCTCCCTCTCCCCCTCCACTCCTCCTCCCCCACACTCCCACTCCTTCCTCTCCTCTCCCTCGAACTCTCCCTGCTACTCGCCGTACTCACACTCGAGTAACTCTCCTGTCTCCCGTGTTCCGACCCCGCAATCGCATTCGCATTACTAAATGGGCTTTCTCTCGGACGATCAAAATCCACCGCGCGACCCTGGACACTCCCGCTGCGGTTTCTCACCGCGGACCCAGAAGATAGCGTCGGATCATAGTGCATCTGATCTCTGTCGCGCGAAATCCGACGTTCCTGTGTTTGAAGCGAGGCTTTGCGAGACATGCGGAGAGAGTCGTGAGTGCGGGATATTTGACCATGGGTGTAGGCGGCGGAAGGAGTGCGGGAATTAGATTTGTAGGCGGGACGGCCGCGGACGGGGTTCACGGAGCCGGAACGCGAGAGAGAGGGGTCATCGAGGATAGATGTTCGGGTGGTGAGGATGGAGTTGGCGACGCTGGGTTCACGATAGTGGGTGTAGAAGTCGGATTGGGATTCGGGTTCGAAAGGCTGGGTGGGTTGATAGGAGCGAGGTTTGGTGTTGAGTTGTCGTGGTTCTTGTTCGAGGAGGGCGGTGGGTTGACAAGAGTTTTTGTAGGGAGAGGGGATGGCGGGGACGGGTAATTCGGGGGAGGAGGTTGAGGAGCGGTCGCTGTTGGAAGATTCTTCTTCGGGGGATGAAGATCGTGATCGTCCGGAAAATCGGGGAGGGAATCCAAAGACGTGTGTTGGAGCTGGTACTGTAGGGATCTTGGGGATCTTGGTTTGGTTCTGAGGCGATGGTTCGGCAATGCCGTATATAGATCCTGCTTGAGATCTAACGCTCGAGTGCTGACCTGCTAAAAACATGAAGTTGCGTGGAACCTCTCCTTGGTAATGTAGTTGAGATACCTCCTCTTCAGATCGAGTTCTGCTGGGGGGAGACTCAGGAACCGAGGGTCTCCCGAATTGAACTTCGACTAAGTTCGATTGTGGCTGGACCTCCTTGATTGGTGATGGTGGTATGTATGAGCCTCCAACATTAGGTAGAGCAGAGCGTCTGATTTCCGCTGCAGAAGGCTGTAAGCGGAGAGGTGACGGCTTATGTTTGATCGATTTGGGAGCGGAGACCTCGCTGGAACGACTCGATAAACTAATATTACTGCTGCTAGCAGCTGACGGACCTCTGATAGCCTCAAGTGCTCTGGAAGTTTCTGTCAAGTCGACCGCGGTTGTTGAGGGTGGACCGAACATTGATTGGGCGGGAGAGTTGCTTCGAGATTGTGAAACACCCCCGAAGAAACCTCTCTCGATTGCTCGAACACCAAAGAGATCACCTTCACCAAGCTCCTCTACATTGAGTCTCTCCTGCGTGCTGTTTGCCTTCTCCAGTTCCTCGATTTTGATATTTCTTGCGAGCCTGGGAATACGTTTAGCAAAAGTAAATTCAACTGTTTGAAGCTTTTATCTTACTTTCTTTTGTTGAGCCATACTTTTATCAGGCCGGCGGATAATACGATGAAGATTGCACCACCAAGGACAATGCTATAGAAGATATATCAGACACATGTATGCATGTATGAATGTTCATTGTTGAGAGACTCACCCGAACTTGGCAGACAAATCTTGGTTTCCAAACCACCCCATTATGAGTAATATTAAATAGCTTTGGTAATTATGGAAGTCAAACAATGCCCATTAAGTGTCTCGAAGTTTAACATGCAATATGGGGGGAGTCTGGTGATATACAAAGGCTGAAGAAATTCGGATTCCTTTTTAAAGCCCCACAGGTCGACAACTAATGAATGTAAAAAGAAGCAAAAGTACAAGATGAGAAAGCAATCGTGATGAGCACAGCTTTTATCGGATATGCAAGTAGTAAAACTCCAACAGAATTGCACGAAAACTTAGAAGTGGTCTGAAAGGTCGATCTGGGGCCTTGGTAGAGAAATCGGAATCTATGAAGCGCGGACCGTGCTCGTACCTGACAGTCAGTTTTTGATGTTTTGCGTTTCAGATGGACGGTTTATTAGATGGATCATGGATAACCCAGACGATGAAAGTGGACCAAATGTGTCGTTCCAGGAATTTGGAATGGTAGATATTTTTGAGGTGGTGTTGAATGTTCTGTGAGTAAAGAGTGTATGGAATGACTGCTGAAGCTCGTCACGATGAGTGAAAGGTAGTTCCCCAAATATCGCTCCCCTCGACCTTTACTGACAGAGGTTATAGCCACAACTTGAGACCGACCGATGTAGAGATTGGGGCCGTTTGATAATTATTCACCAGGAATGTAAAAGAGAGAAGAGATATTTGATGTAAAGGAGTGGATAGTTCCCATGAAGGAATGGTTCAAGGAAAGAGTGACGAGTAGAGAAAAAGAAAATTCCCAAAAGAAAATTTGAGATTGAGAGAAGATCAGCGGAGCTATTACAACCTTTTTAAAAGAATACACAGCATCGACTAGATACCGTGCCATTCAATCCTTGAAGCATATTGGAGGTTGATGGCAGCACCCAGCATAAGTAGGGGCGTCTTCCAAGACCAGTCAATGGTCACCCACACTTCACGATGAATGTATAGATTTAGACACAATCATTGGAGTGCCGTCTCACATGGCGAAGCATGTTTGTTCCACAAATTCCATACTGTGTTCGGATTGCTCGTCTGGCCATGCTGTGGGGGGAAGCAACGCTGTGACTGAGCAATGTCGGAATGTTTGTCCAATTTGAAGTGATCGCCACTTGAATCACTGGAGATGGAAGAAGTGCCCTGACGCTATATTTGACCAAGCGCGGGTGTAGATGTTACTAGATGAATTCTTTGGTTGCTCTTTGACCTTTTGAATGCTGGCAGTTTCGAATCATCGTTAATATTCTTACTTTCGAACGGCGGTAGAACGGCGGTTATCCCTTTTAGTGTGTCGCACCAGCCATATCTGCATGACCCTTGTGGAGATCCAATTTTGGTGTAAAAGAGTCACCACCAACCGATTCTCTTTCTTCCATCAGGGCGCTTTCATGACCATCAAACGTGTTTATTTTGAGTGTGTCTTGCTGGAGTGGTCAGCTATTCGACATCATTGATTTGATTTGTGGCTGTGAGTTTGGAAACACCAGAACGCCATTCACGAATCAGTTGGGATGAAATAGGAGATGTTGATCAATGATGATGTGAGATTCTAAAACATCTTTACCTATGTCGTAATTCTTGAGGGTGCAAGAGCCAACCAAGGGATTCGACGAGATTCACGAGGAGAGATCACAGATTCATAGTGGACATCATAGTGGATCTTGAATTTCTTGGCTCCAAGTTCAGTTGGCTGGCACGGCTGGGTGGCTATACTCCGCCTCAAGTCCGTCTCGACTCTCGACGAGTCCGTACTCTGTATACTCCGTAGTAATCCAAATGGCGGGTGTCCGGGGAGAAGTAGAACAAACGGTATTTCATATACCGTATAATATATCCCCTCCTCCGGAAGCCATATACCTATTAGCCTGCTACTCGATGGTGAAGATCACAGCTTAAGTTTGCCAGTTGACTGGTCACAGAGTATCTGGGTCTTACCGGTGCATTCAATGAAATTTTTATGATGTATAACGCCGTCCCATTCCCAAGCAATTGAAATGAGCTGTACCTTTACTTTGTTCGTGTGGTGTGCACAGATGTGTACCAATTTCGGGTCTGAGATTTCCAAAAGTATATCAATTCATTTACCTTCCTGTAGCTACCTACCGTGGTATTGTAACCAAAATTCATACATTTGACTATTTGACCATTAGTATTTGACAAATAATCTTCTATCCTTGCAGTCAGTACGACAAGCCTGTGTACTACTATTATTAGCATCTTCTCGGTCTATAAGAAAGAGAGAGTAGAGCCTTTCCAAAAGCCTTTCGACCTTTTGAGCTGCCAACAGATGTGGCCTGACCGTTGCGATGATCTTTAAGGCCGAAAGTTATCTTCGCCAAAGTCCACGTCGTGACCTCTTGCAAGGCCAGGACAGTACGCGGCGCGGTACAGTATCAACAAACATATCAACAAACAAGAAAACATGTAATTTTCATTTTTTAATCCCTCCATCCCTCAAATGCTGTTGTTTTGCGTGGATTCAATCTCCCCATTTATTCTTTATCGACAAAACTACCTCGTATTGTCTTTTCGTAAGCCACATGGGATTATCAATGCTGCTTGGGTCGTATTCTTTGGATTGGAAGGGTCTTCATACACCTGAGCACCAGGTCACAAACGTTCCTTTGCGTACAACTTCGTACGTAAATTGGATGGTACCGTACCAATTACTGTCTCAGTGGACAGTGATCCTTCATCGCTGTTTATTCGATCTTTAAACGTGAGATTGATGATGAAATTGATGAAGTTGGTTGTGGTTATGATGTTACCACCATTGCTCTCTTTGAAAGTTTTCATCGTTGAGCTCTAAGTGGAAAGTACAACCATGGATCTATATGCTACGGGAGACGGTTCGTATAGCCAAGTATTGTGTTCGTCTCTGGAATGATCAGCATCTTTTCATCGTCATTGCCCAAAATGGCGCCAGTGGTAGTCTTCTACGGGTGCCCATCGAATGAACGGAGAACTGGAGAATGCCAGAAAGACTGCTGTCTCCCACGGGAGAACTCTCGAGTTTTTTTGTAATTCATCGATAATATCCTACCGTGTACCGACATTAAGATCTCTGACAAAAATCAAGTAACATATGAAGCGTTCAAGAGGCTCTATTTGCATTCCTTGTTTGTTTCCTATGAACGAAATATTCCACATTATAGACAGGTGTTCAAAAGTTGGATAAAATTTGGATATAGTAAGACTCTAGCTTTGTGTTTAGGACCAGCTCTAAATTAGTAGTATTAAAATTTTCGCACGAAACGAATTGTGAGAAATTTTCTCTTTCGTTCATTCCAAACCTTTCATCTCCATTTCCAACAACATTTTCTTCAATAGTTCATAGATATTATCCATCTTAAGCAACTATCAATCTCATCTACTTCAATCAACACAACTATTACTTCAATATATCCTCTCATCTCTAGTCCTTAGATATATCTATCTTAAGCGACTATCGATCTCCAATACTCAAATCTTATCTACTTCAATCAACACAGTTATTCCCCATTCCCCGCTACCAGATCTCATCTATTTCCAAAAAATCTACGAGACGTCTTTGCAGCAATGAGTGAGAATCGCCCACTTCGCGCAAGAAGCGCCTCTCCGAGAGTGCGCCTATCAGGCGATCATTCGCGTCGTGGCAATGGCCCAAATGAGGATTTTGTTTTAGAGGCATACACACGTCTTGTCGAACGTTCTATAAGACGAGATCCATTCACATATCCCGTTGGCACTGTAGCCCCTAGAGGAAGAAGCCCAGAACGCGCGACCACCACCGAGACACAGCAATGCTCAACAGCAAGAATGTCTATGAGGACCAATACAACAGATTGTGCGAAATGTTGAGGGCTTCCCAATTAAAACACCTGGATAGCGCCCGCAGTTTAATGGAAACAGAACATCATCTCAAGGTTGCTTATCACATGAAACAAAATGGCGCTGAAGGACATACCGAGCAAGCACAACGCGAGAGGGAAGATAGTCAGCACGGTGGTGGTGCCAGGTCAGAGTTTGGGGCAGAAAGATATGCTACAGAAGGTGCTGGTTCCACAATGACCCAACAGTCGGAAGGCGTAATTGTTTTGTATCTATCACGCCATTGGATCCTGCAGATAGTAATGATTCCGCCTGGAGATCAACAGCCGGAACGCATGGCGACGAGGACAACAATCTCTCCAATGAGCTTCCTAGTCACCTGAGGTCCCCTTACAAATATTACAACTCATATTGGACACCCTCATCGCGTCCCTCGCAGTCCTACCCCACATTCCCACGATACCCCTCGCCCAACACAACTTCGGCTCCGAGCTCTACTGGTTCTCCAAGCCCCCAGCCCTCCGCACCAGTTAACTTCGGAGCCATCAGACGCCTCATGCGACCTTATCTTTCTCCGCTCCAATGTCAACCCGGCTCCACAATATATCCCCCGCGATCTTTTACTTCTCCTCTCCTATATCCACCCCGTTCCACATATCCATTAACATGGCCCAGCGTCAGCTTTTCCCGACCCGCACTCGAGCAATCCTTCCTCAGGAACGTAACCAGAAACATGGATCTCATCCCCAGCGCCCCCGCCTCCACCGGCCCTCTCATACCATTCGAAGGTCCCAGCATACTCCCCGAATCGTGGAAAATCAAGCGACAACCAGCTGCCGACCCCCCTATTTGCGCGAACTCTTGGCCAATATGGTCTTGGAACACCCCCGATACGCGCAACTGGATCTACCAAAACCTCGTCACCCAATGCGGCTTCCAGAAGTCCTACGCTCACAAGATCGTCATGGGATGGGTGGGTGGTGCGGATACTGTCCGACACATGACCTTGTTCGATTGGCAGGTACTTACCACCTCCTATGAAGCTGGATGGTATATGTTTAAGTTAATGCGGCGTTGGTAATTCAAGAACTGTGCTCTGTAGCCTTGCGTGCGTGGTCAGTGCTTGGGGATTTCGATACTTGCGAATGGAATTCCCGTCTCTGCTTCATCAAACGGATATCTAGGATATCAACGCAGCAAGTTTTGGGTTGGGGTATGGCATGGGAGTACAGGAAAGTTCAAGGCAGAGAATACTCGTGTGAAAAGCTTGTTAGTAGACAGTGTGTTTCTAGTGAACCAGGAGGTGAAGGTCGGAAACCATCCGACTTAAACCACACGGCTCAAAGCAAGATACGGAGAGAAAAGATATAATGTAACATTACAATCGCCAATCTTCTTTTCCTCTATATTTGCTTTAGGCACATTAGATGCACTGTCTTTACAATAGTAATAGCAATAGTAATAGTAATCATAATAATAATATAATTATCCATAAAATCACCAGCCAGTCTTCAACTCACCATAAGAACATCCTTGGACTTGCACATCTGCTTTATGTCGTAAATGTAGTTCCGACACACGTCTCGTGAATATTAATACCATCAAATATGAACCTCTCTCTCTCTCTCTCTCTCTCTCTCTCTATAATTAGATCGTCATCTCCATCTCCAAACACCAGCTCTTCATCAATGAATTCCAATCACATTTATCAATACACCTCCACAAATATCTCAATACATTCAATAATGCAATCCAAACGAGCACCTCACGATATCTCTTCCCGTATCCCCCCAAAAGAAAAATACACCCTTCAAAGCTCAATGATGCGAATTCTTTTCTCCCTGCATTTCTCATTATACCATACCATACCATCCATCTCTCCTCACAATCCGTTTCCAAATCCAATCTTTTCCGATGCTTTTCCTTTCTTCAAGCTTTACAATAACGCTATAATAGTAACAATGCTCTCATTCAATTCATATCGGACCCCAGATCAAAACTTACCGCTTTAACCTCCAACCGTGTATGAGTCAACAAGTATCAAGTGATTGTATTCTGATCCGATAAAGAATTATACATCCAGATCATCTTCACAGGGAACTACTATAAAGTCTCTCACATCGAAACAAACAAAAAATTTATGGGTGTTCTTTTTCCTCGACAACATTGAATCTTTGCTAAAAATATTTATATTCGTAGATGCATATCAAACCATACATATGGACGTAAATCCTGACTCCTTACAATGCTAGCCACAACTCCCACATGCGAGACGTTACCATGCCTTCTACGCCAGGTATTTATAAAGACTGCGGTCTTCTCGCTCGATATAATCCTTTTCAATTAATTCTTCAAAAACTGTTAGTCTTTGTATCCTCGGTGAATGTCCAATAGTAAATAAGAAGACTTACTTTCAATGTGTTTCTTAATTTCCGCCGGCTCCACGGCACCTCTCCCTTTAGTTTGATTGATAACCTCCGCCACCAAATTTTGATGCGTCATCGTCTTTCTAGACTTCATGATTCTAACAATCGCAGCTTGGGTTTCAAAACTTCTATCTTGAATAACTCTCTCATGGGTTTCTTTGTTCTCCTCCTTGGTCTCTTTCAATTGAATTTGATTAATCTTGATTCTATATTTTGGATCTGAGAAATTGAGATTGATGGTAAAAGTGTCGGTATCATTGATATCTCTGCCTTTAGGATATTTAGCCAAGGGCCGAATTTTGGCGCATGCAAGCGACTGGAGGGTTCGTTTTAGTTCAACATCGACGAGACCCGTTGCTTTAGAGATATCCTTGTAGGAAAGGTGACCGCCATCTTCAAGATCATTGAAAAGAACAAGTACTATAGCTTGGAAACCACTAACAAGGAGTTCCTTAACGCTTTTTTTGAACGTTGCTTTGACAACGCTGTGTGCTAGAGAATGTTTCCAAGTTAATCGGCGCCCACTGTGTTTGTGCTTATAATGCCGGTCGTACTTTTCGATATGTCTCGCAACTTCGGCAGGAAGATTGACTTCGATATCCGGATAAGTTGGCCAAGCAGCAGACGAGAGGACACTAACTTGTAGATCCAGTGTTGTCTTGCTTGTATTGCTTAGAGACTGCTTATATGAGATCATTTCATCCCGAGAGATATCTTGATCTTTAAACATCTGTTCGAGGTTATGGGTGAAGCTGTTACCGCATTCACCTCTTAACTTAGCAAGCATATTCCTCTCAGCATCTTGACTTGCACTGCGTGCCATTAACAAGCGACGTGCCAGATCTTTCTTGTAAAAAGCTTCAAATACGTCTTTCCCTTCAATGAAGCGGAACAGCTCAAGACCTTGTTCTAGTTGACGGTCCAATTCTGCATCCTCATCCCCGGTACTAGCTTGTCCATTCTTCTCAGCCTCATTGCGATCTGTGGCATCAGATACCAGAGAACGAGGTACGGCCTTAAGTCCCCCACGCAGTAAACCATCCATGTATTTCGCAATCATTTCCCCAACTTTAGAGGTGTCTGTACCCCATGCCTTGGCAACTTGGCGGTCATTTATGAATTGTCCAAACGCATCCCGAAGACAGAAAGTAAACGTCCCATCTTTGTTGAAGGAATCACGGATGACAGTATCCAATGACCGCTTCAGTTCGAGCAGACGAACAACCATCTCATCGCCCCTTTCTTTATCCATTGCAATAGATGATCCAACATATTTTATATAATGGGCGAAGGGCTTCTTGAGCTGTGCCTGGATATCCGAAAGTCTCAATAGCTGGTATAAAGATTTCAATGATGCCATTTCTTTGTCGTCCAAGAGCTTAGATACAGCTACTGGTTCCAGGAGGACATCGGCGCGTTTGCGGACCAAAATATTGTGAGCGGTGTCAAGCAACGTTTTTTTGGTAGTGCTGTCAAAGTTGTATGTATCGCAACGGAGACTTTCTCGTCGTAACAGGTCGTCGCAAGAAGAGATATATTCTCTCAATGGCGAAGAACTCCGTTCTGATGCAAAACTCTCGAGGTAGGCTGAAGAAAGCTCTTGGAATCGTTCCTCAAAAAGGCTTGTGTATATACCAAGTATGTGAATTGTGGCGATGGAAGCTCGGAGAAGGGATGAATCAAACATATCCAAAGACTTCCTATCATACTCTACCAGTTCACATATCCCCAGTATAGCTTGTGCTCCAGTTTTGCTGATCTCCTTTCCTTTTAAAAACACGATTTGGCGAAATTGTCGTATACCCATATCTTCGAGTTGCGGAAGTGTCTTCGAGTTCAGCAGATATGATCTGTCGAGATAGCTGAATATGGACCTCAATAGAATCTGACCTCGTTGTCAGTATTTTTCTCTAGATTGGCATAAGTCTATTAGCAGGCCTACCAATTGGGTTCTCCATATCCCCCATACAGTCTCAACAGCCCGCAGAGTTTCTACCGAGCTGGAATCTCCTTTGCTTAAATATTTTGGTAAGAGTCCATCCTTGATATGTGTGTGGCATTGCAGTTCTAGATGTCTGTATAGTTGATCCGCCTTATCTTTTCCACGCCGACAAATCGACTCGACTCCACGACATCTGCAATATTAAAGGGTTAGTGATTGCCTGTTGGGAAAGATGAGATGCAGCGTAATTGACCATTGAGCAAGATTATCAGAAAGGGCGAGGAATAGAAGCAGCGGGATTAGAGGAGAAGATAGAAGATGCAAAGAGGATTGACAATCGGGGTGCAATATGAAAGAGTCAATAAAGCTTACAGAACTTCCAATGGTGTTACTGGCTGCTCGTTGCTAAACACTGATGTCAAAGCAGCATCTAACTCGTTCCAGGTCTTCTTGAAATACTGCTCTCCATCATTTGGAGAACCTATCCTGAGGTTCTTAATCACCAATCTCTTCGCTCCAGTGTGCGGTTGAAAATTCGATGGCCTCGTCAAATCTACTACTCCTGGACGCGAAAACCCCATTGTCTTGTTCATGTTGGACCGTAAACCTGGACTTGTTGATGATGAAATTGACCTTAGCTTTTTCGAAGAATGATAATCAACCTTGGATGTACTGGGGGGCGTGTTCGCCGAGTTTGGATTTGGACCTTGAGGATCGCGATGCTTTCTTTTGGCTGATGAATTGGAGGATGTCGAGGAGAGATCAACTGCACGATCGTGTGAAGGCCACATCGAAGTGAAGTAAACACAAATGATATAATTTCGCCTTCCGTTCTCTTGTGAGGTGAGGGGTCGATCTTAGTGGCCGCAAAGCTCGGGGAGCTCCCTGGATTGGAGATTAAATGCTGTAACTCCTGCTGCAGCTCTTTCTACGTGTCAGATCACAGCATTAATGCTGATGGTACATTAATGACGGATATACCTTTTCTTTTTTTCCCCCTTGTACCTTGATATTCCCGTGGATGTTACATGAGGGGAAATAGAAATGGGAATGTTGCACGGGATGATGGATATGCTTGGAAGGAAGCCGCGAATGGGTAGGTAGGTATGGATGGCAGATTCCAAGGTTATTACTGATAGGCGATAACGGCGATAAGAGGGTTTCTTTATTCCGAGGTTGCTCAATTGATGGATGATATACTCGTAATGAGACTTGTAAATAGGTAATGGTGGTAGTTCAATATGGAGGTCAATTAAGCCACTATTCATACAGCTAGAAGAGAAAGGTGGCATGGACGATATCCATGTTATGGTGATATTAAGATTCCAGATTGACAGACACGAGAAATTTGATGATTATGATTTGATCAATTCATGATATTTGGCATTCTAAACTCTATACATGAGCACCAAGTCATCCTTCCTTTCTGATTAGGCATTATCATGAGCAGTTCCTCTATCATCGCCCACATCTCCTTGATACACAAAATATCCAATCCTAGCTCATTTTCTCAAGTGAAAGATCTCAGGGTGGGTCGTTTTTGGATGATTGTCTCTTCAAACTAACAAAACTATTAGAGGTCGAAAGGATAAAAGCTATGGAAGGAATTTTCAACTTACGTCGACAAAGCGAGTTATAGTCATGAGTAGCATGAATGAGTCTGATATATCAACGATGCTCTGCTCTGCGGAATCACTCCCAGTCCCAAGTCCG